TACTGGAAATTCAAGAACTACAACATGGAGAAAAAAAAAAGAAAAAGAAAAATTGAATGATGATGCAAAAGAAATGAGAACTCTTGACACATTTTTTTAAAAGTTCTGAAAATTTGCATTCATCACAACCATTGCAATCATCTTTTTCACTATTATCTTCATTTCCATTATCACCATCTTTATTTCTAGAAATTTCTCCATTTTCCATTGATAATTTATATACACGTTTGAAAGAAATAGATCAGCAATGTATTTTATCAAAGTCTGCAAAAAGTAATGAAAAAATTCTTACCTATGATTATTTATGATGCCTAAATATCCGCAGATTCATTCAGCTTTTATTAGAAGGGTAAAGTAAAATGAATGCTAGCAGTAATATTGCACAAATCATATAGAATAAAGGAAACTATATGGCAAAATGTATTCAGAAATGGGAAACTCATTATTTACGGACAGGAAAACTTCTTGTTTATCATCAAAGAAAGCATACAAAGCTAGAAAGCTTGGTAAATGATAAGGATTTTAAAGAAGAATGCCTTATATGGTTACGACAGCAAGCACCAGAATCAAGTTCCCCTAAACGTTTAAAGACCTATATTGAAGAAACGGTGTTTCCAAAATTGATAGGACATATCAAAAAAGATACAATTTCTAAGAAAACCTGTCAAAATTATATGCATAAGTGGGGATTCAAGTATGATGAAAAAAAAAGGAGTTTATTATGATGGACACGAGAGACCAGATGTGGTAGCATATAGGAAAGAATGGTTGAACAGAATATTTGAATATAAGAAATATATGAAAGACTTTGATGGTGAAATGTTAGATATCGTTTTGGAACCTAAACTTAAGTCAGAAAAGAAGGAATTAGTACAAGTGACACATGATAAATGTCACTTTTATGCAAATGATGGACAGCGAAAAATTTGGATAAACAAGGATGAGGATATCTTACGCTCAAAACACATTGGACGTTTTATTATGGTTTTAGCATTTCTTTGTATATGTTATGGATTGTTACAATTATATGATGAACAATTGCAAGCAAACCCACATATCAGAAATAAAGAAGCCTTTATTCTTCGATCTATACAAACAAATGGGTATTGGAAGTCGAAACATATGTTAGACCAGGTTTGTTTTTTTCTTGTTCATATATCTAGATTGAAATGTATAATTTAAAGAATCATTAAAATATATTTTATTATTTAGCTTGTACATCAAACAATGCCAATATTTGAAATATTACATCCTGAGTGTATTGGTGTTTTTTGCTTTGATCAATTAATAAACTATAATGCTATGGCGGCTAATGCACTTATTGCAATAAAAATGAATTTAGGTCCTGAAAGAGCACAGCCTAAAATGCGTGATGGTTGGTTTTTTAATGAGTATGGTGAGAGATGCATACAGTCGATGATATTTCCAGATAATCATCAACTGAAGGGACAACCAAAGGGTATTAAGTAAGTACTCAAAGAACGTAATCTTTGGCTAACAAACGGAGTCCGTCTAATATGCGAGCAATGTTCTGAAAAATGTGATGATGTTAATCTAGAGAGGTTAGACTGCTGTGTATAAAGGATAATGTAATTGCAACCTGATTTTCAAGAACAACAGTCAATATTAGAAGAAACAATGATTAAAGAGGGACACATTTTTGAATGTTACCCAAAATTCTATTGTAAGTGCAACTTTATAGAGCGATACTGGAGTTTCGTAAAAAGAGAGACCAGACGGCTTTGCAGCTATAGTTTTGCAGATTTAATAAAAAAAGTTCTGGAAGTTCTTGTTAGTGTTCCTCTAACTTCTATTCATAAGTTTGTATGCAAGTCATAGAAGTATATAGATGCATATGATAAAGGACTGGAGGGTAGAGTTGCTGAGTGGGCTGTTAATAAATACAAATCACATCATTGATTGCCTGAGAACATTGAAAGATTAATGGATTAATGGATTGATAATTTTAGTTTTATTTCATCACCTTTATTAAGAACTTTTATTTTTTTTTGATTTTTTTGAATTAGACGCGTATATGCGCATATGAATAAAAACCAGTTTGTTACACAAAAATTCTCATTTTTTATTGGTTGATTGTAGATCACGTGATATAAAATTGGTGCCGAAAATTTGAAACATAATCACGTGATTGTCGAGTATAGGTTTCCTACACCATATCAAAATAAAATGATAAATGATTTGAAAAGTTTTACTGTGTCTGTAATTGTATTTTAAGGATGTTAAACGGCCCTTAAAAAAATTTTATTACTAATTCTAGAAGTCTAGAAGGGCTCATCAGGAGAACTTTATTACATAAAATTTATGATATTTTTTACGCAGTTTTACAGTCAGTTGACCGTTACATTGTTTGCTTTAATCACTACTCAAACCCGGCCATTGAGACATTTATCAAAAAATTTATCGAGACAATCATCCTCCAGAACCAACCGCGAACAAGATATTTTGCAAGAATTATCTACGCCTGTTAGGGGGATTCTGCCGAGAATAATGATGTATTCTGAGGATGATTCTTGGTCTTCGATGCCTTGTACCAAAAAGCTTGTCGTGCAAAACACGTGCAACCAAGAGGAGATTTTATGTTGGTATCACTATGGAAAGGCGTATGAAGAATTCTCAGAGAAGAGTCAGCGATCAATCGGCTAGAAACCAAGTATATGATGATACAATGGAGCACCTTCCTGAAGGGTTTACTAAAGATGCTTTGCGTAAAAAAACTCAAAGGGCTATGAAGATTTATAGCTTATTCCAAAAAATTGGAGTGGGTAAGATTTAAACGCATTATATCTTATAGTACAAGTTCTATCTCGAAGCTTTACCGCTTCGCAAATTTGAATGATTGAAGAACAGTTTGATCACGTGTGAGACCTGAGGTCCTACCCGTGACTTTACGTGACTACGCATCTTTGTAACTACCCACCCTCTTCCTTACACAGATCAAATAACATTTACTCGGGATCAAAACATTTTCTTATTAGACAATGCCACCAGTAGGTAGAACACTATAGAATAAAAGGACTATGTGCAAATATGTAGTTTATAAGACAATAAAAGAAATCTTCAGACGGTTAAAGATTGGCCTCTTGAGAACATTCACATAATACTAAGTAGTTTACGATTGACATAAAACTTAAACAGAATATTGGAGGAGACTGTATTTGTTCTCTACGGTAGTATAGTAAGTTTGAATTTCAAATAATCTATTTTTAATTGTATTGTTCAATCCATTCAGGATCAAATCATGTAAATAATATAACTATATTATAATGAATTAATTTCAATTTAAAAATCAAAATTTGTTTTCGTGTTTTTGAAAAAAATATGAATATATTTTTTTTTTTTAAAAAAAAAAAAAAAGTATAAATAATTAATTCACTATGATTATTATAATTGATTTTAATAACTTTTGGTGTGTATCACGCTTGGCCCATGTTCATTATAATCAACTTTGTTAATGAAACTTTTTGGATCCGGAAACGAAAGCTTATCAAATACAAATATAACATCATGTAAATAATAATGAAAATATGAATTGATTAAATGATAAAATAAAAGTGTCCGTACCTTGGCTGTTATGGAAGCGCCCAGGAATCCAGCTAAATCTTGTCTGTCTTTAAGATTTGTAAAATAATCAGGGACTTTTAAGAATTTTGCTTCTTTAACTTGGTATTCTCCAGTATTATCAGAAAATGTAAAATATGGAGCCAAATCGTTTTTAATACGTTCCTTCAAGCCTTTTTTTATTTATATATATATATATATATATATATATTAATATTTTATTATTTGAATAAAAAGTGTTGAAAATGATATTTTTACGAACCTTTCATCAAAGATGATCCCCCAGTAAGTACAATGTTCTCCCATAATGTGTTACGCTTATCTGGTTCACAACTATATATGGCCAGATAAATCGCTTCTGTTAGTGATAAGACTCCTTGTCTATTAATCAACAATGTGTCAAAAATCGGTTCTGCAACATGAAAACGTTCCGGACCAACTGTAAACTATAAAAGAAAGTTGAATTTTTCACAACTTAATCTTTAAAGCATGCAAAAGAATTTCTTTGCTAGTAAAATGTTTATGAACCTTTTTTCCGTGATATTCGAGTTCCATCCTCACAGGCTTATCTTCCAAATTGTTAGTATCTAATAGAACTTCACAAATTGATTCTTTAAGAGCTCTCGCAAAATCTTTATCAGGTGTCTCCCCATACTCTTCAAGAAATTGAGTGTCCAACAAAAGCAACGAGTGAAAATATTCATCGAAATCTTGACCACCAATAGGTACGATTTGTATTGCGTGATGCTGAATTGAACATTCTAAAATTGGGGTTATCTCTAAATTGAAAAAAATTAACGTTTATTAGAGAACAAACAAATCAAAGAATTTAAACGGCATGAAAATCAGGAGTACCAGTTTTCCCGTAACCGATATCCACAACCAAACCACTAATACTGCCACAGCCATATAGAGACATTAATGCCTGATTAGCTATGTAAAGTCCGGGAGAATTGAAGGTCTCGAAAAATATTAGTGCAATTCGTTCATATTGTACTTTATTCCAAGTACTCGGGACGGTGACGATTACAGGACATTCATTACGTGATCTTTTGATATTAAATTCCTTTAAGAGAATATGTCGCCTGTTTAAATGTGTGAAACTTATTAGTAAACACATCAAATAAATCAATTATGATGATTTAAACGTACCATAATGCTTCCAATTCATCCCAATTCTCAATATTTCCGCGTTTTATCGGAAAAGAAGTTACAAATTTACCTTTGTGTTGTTCCTTTAATTCCTTTAATTGCATACCACAAACATATTTTGGCACTTTAGCGGTCTTTATGGGTGCATCCTTTTCTGACTTTTCTGGTGAGTTCGGTGCGGTTTGTTTAGTATTTTCCGAAACTTGCGATATCTCGGAACTTTGCTTTTCAACTTCTATCTCAGGCAATTTTCCGACTTCTGTTTGAAGAAGCTACAAACAATTCAGTTTATTCTGAGTTGTTGGTTTAAGTGAAGAATGATTTTGAATGAATTGTTTTATCAATCCTCTACAAATTTGTTAATAAAATTTACACGCGCCCATAGGATCAACTTAACGAAATATAAATGTGCTATGAACATGACATTAAAAGCGAATCTTCAAGAAAAACGTGTGTAAAAAATTGAACAAGCTTGCCGAGTTTTGATAAAAAAAAAAAAGTTTACTTACCACGGAAGGAAATTGATTTGTGTCAGTTACACCTATTCCTGCTTTTATTCTCCAGGAACCATTATCAATGATTACGTATGATTCTTCTTTTAGAGTGAAATGCATTTGGAATTTATTATATCAGAATAAAAAAAGACTAGCAAATTATTCAGATTATTACATATTTGTTGACGCGAATGTATACACAGTTATCATCCAATCATTATCGTTCCCAAACCAAATAAATTAGATGTCCAAACAAAAAAGTTCCCGAGTACCTTTATTTTGAAAATGAATCAAAAAAGAATTCAAAGTCGGGAGGTAAGTGCGAGGAGTCTTTTTTTTTTTTTTTTTTATCGAAATATATATTTAAATTAACTAAATTTAAATGATCACTTTTCTTGAAGACTTTGAAAGCGACGATATGGCAAACGGTTAATGATATTTGTCACGAAGAAGGTACAACTACAAACTCACTTTACGAAAATTTTATGATTATATAATGTTAACATTACTTTTTATATTTCTTAGCTGAAGAATTGAACGTAATCCCTACTCAATTATTTATCGCGTCGTTAACAGAAATGGTGTATAAACAAGCTGGTAAACATATCTATCCCTCTTTAACTTATAAATTTATTTTACATTTGTTATTCTAAAACTCACTTTGGGTTTCACCAATTTAGAAACGTTCGCGATCAACTTGGAAAATTTTGCAAAGTCCTTATATATATATTACGTGTATCCCTGAGATTATTGTAATTATTATTTTATTATTTTATTAAATCTATCATATCCTCATAAACAGTCATGCGAATCGATCCACAATCTCGATGGATGATGTGAAGGTAAATTATCACATCAACTCAACCATTGACTTTTTTTTTGTTCATTTCTTATTATTAATCATATTTAAATTTTTTAAAAGCTTTGTAGCCGACGCAATGATGAGCTGGTAAGCCTTCTTGTTCCATTTATTAATACAATAAGAATATAATTATTAAAGTCAAAAATCAAATATGGAATTTTGGATTTAGAAAACGTATATTAGTAACTTTGCCAATTCCATTCTTGAACATCGTGCTTTACGACCTTCACGTCAACAAGATTCACAAAACGTGGAAAACTCTACTGATTAAATATCGTAAAATCCAAAATTTGATATTTACATTTTCAAACTAGAACTTACAGTATTTGACCACCAATATTCGAATCAGTCAGACGACTAAAAATATATTTGATTAACTAAATTTTTTAATTTACCTTAATTGTAATATAAGGTATTTGATAAAAACGTTCTATTTAAATCTTAGTATAACTACATGATAAAATCAACCTATTGAATTCTATCAAATTTATAATAAACAATAAACACAGATTATTTTTTTATCATATTTTCTTGATCTGTTGTTGTTGTATTACATCCTTCTGTAAGATGAGTTAATAAATCATCTCGTCTTCTCTGTAACATTTCATCTTCCTTGAGAATATTCCGCTCTTCCCACAAAACGCGCTCACGTTCTTGCACTGGAGATAGTGCAACTTCGGAAGCGGATACATGTATTGGATATGATGATGGTTTATGAGAATTTTCATTCACTAAAGTAACATCTGGTAGCGAATGTGAAACATGAATATTTGATTTCGGTGATGTCGAGTGTATTTTTTGTTGTTGAGATAAATCATTAGAAATGCTACTAATTACATTCTGTTGAATTTTAGCCATGTCTTTAATTGTAGAAGGTCGAGACGAAATTATCAAACCTTCGTCTTGATTTGTTACACTTCTTCTATTTGAAGTATTATTGTCATTTTTGAAATTCGAATCTGGTAAATCTTGTAAACTTTGAATCAACCATCTCCCAATGGCTCTTACAGCGCCTGAACTCTCTGGCAATACCGACATCATTTGTAAAAACGCGTGACTAATCCCTTGAAGGATTTTCACCTCTACCCAATCATCATTATCAGATTTCTCTACGCTGCTCATTCTTAATCCTTCCCCAAATTTACCACCATCTGTCATTTGTTTTTTCCTCCTTTTAGCTTCTCTTATACGTCCTGCAAATACAACAGTGTCATCGACAAAAGGATCTTTTTCCCCACACATAAGATAAACTTTTGGAAATTGTGCCAACAATTCATCAGGTCCAACGATTGGGGAAAGCAAATAATCTGAATTAATATCAGGATAATTATTAGGCCCAAGGTAAAGAATTGCCATTGCACGCATCTAGAGATGAATAAAATTGTTGTAATTATAAATGACCAATGCACACGATAACAAATAAATTTGTAAAAAATACATAAATAAATTTTACCATATCAGGATTTATGATCCTATCATTAAAAAAACTCATACGACTAGTCATAGTTAATCGTGTTCCTATTACGGGACGAGAGGTTTTTTCTTTGGGGTTCCCGGTAACATCATGACCGTCAATATATTTAACTCTTTCTTCGATCGTCCTCTCATCTTCTCTTGGTCCAGAGAAGCTTTTTCTCCACCTTTTCCTTTTGACATCTGGGACTACTGACAAAGGACTTTTATGGCGTAAATGATCCTTAGATTCTAAAACTCCGGGAATAGAATGGGCGGATTCCGCCCTTATGACAGAAAGTTGAGACGGTGCCATCCAACACGTAATGTCAAAATTCAAGCAGGGATAAATAAGAACTAACGCGGTAGGATGTGGAAGGGTTGTTGAGGATTCAAGTATTTTGAACATTACAGATGTCACAAGATTCCCACCACTTTTTTTTATTTATTGCAAAGAAAAGAATTAATTAAATTTGATGAAGAATAGGAATAATGTATTATACTTACGCAGAATCTCCGGCCATAACAACCTTAATTTGCTTTCTTTTGCTACCGTCTTTATTTGTCCATCCAGCTATTCCTATAACTTCACCGTTGCTTTCCATAATACTTTGATAAACATCAAAACATTCCTCTAAAGCATAAGGATATGGGAACTCCGGTGCTTTTGAGTAGTCTATACTTAAAACAGGTACTTGAGTTCTTTTTGCCCAATGGCTCAGATAATCTTCATGGCAAGGGGGAGGCATCGCGATAAAACCACCACCTGGGAAATCGAGTACAAGTTTATCCTGATTTGCCAATGACTCTGGTGAACCAGCATAATAAATATAACCAATAACCGGTCGTGTGCCGTGAGGATTATTTTTTGGACGAGGGATAAGAATTCTCTTTTGAAATATAGACAAACGAGGTTGTTTTAACCGAATTGCGGCACGTAAAATTGGGTTATAAGACTTTTCCCAAGAAACGCGTAATTGCTCGACAGTAATTGTAGCGCGTATTCTTCGAATCTAAGTATTAATTAATAGATTGATTGAAATCTGAATGACTCTAAAAAAAGTATTATTTATCATTCTTACTTTTTCGTCTGCCTGATCAGCAAAGATTAAATAATATATCGAAAAAACAATTGACATTATATCTTTAAGAAATTTAGGACGAATCGGCATTGCAGTCCAAAATCCGGCATCAAGTGCAGTATAAATCCAAGTTGCACGATAAAAATTACGACTGTACTATATGTAATCGTATAAATTAAAAGTTTTTTCTTTTAGACTCTAAAGTAGAAAAAAGAAAGTTTAGAATTAATTTACAGTTACGTACAAGTCGAGAGAGTGGTTCCGGTGCTTTTGTCAAAATTATAAAAAAAAAAGAAAAATAATAATGTTATAAATAAATTAATTTGTAACAAAATTAGTTTGATCAAGAATATTAAATACAACTTACCACCAAGTCCTATCATGCGGTCAGCATTTTTTAGCATATATAAGAATGCCAAAGTACCGGCAATTAATTGAAATGGAGTGAATTGAGCTATTTTAAAGCAAGTATTAGAAAAAATAAAAAAATTAATATAATCTAAATCGACAAGGTTCGAACTTACAAAGTTTATCATTCCATTTTTGACAAAATTTAGGACCTCTTCTATCAGCTTTGTAGATATACCAAAACCTAAAAGCAAAAGTTTTGCTAATTAGAAGATAATATCTTTAAAGAAAAGTTTATTGATTTAGTAATATAAATGGTTACCAGGTAAAGGAGACTATAAATACTTGAAAACGTTTCCAAGAAGGAGAGGGCCTTCCTAAAAGGTGATCAATCATTTTCCCAAGTTGACGTTATCTCGGGGATAGTTAAAAGATCATATGAGGTTAAATATTATATTTGCGATATTTACGATCCTTCCGATCTGATCTGTCATTCAACTACCGTCAAGTCCATGATTGGTTCCTCGTTTTTATCTGATCGTTCGGATTTTGATCGCAAATCCATTTACAAATCCTAAATCGTGATCAAATTAAAATTTGAGTGGTTGAGTGGCGTGATTAAAATGAATTTTTGTGTTCTGAAAAACAGTGTTTTTCCGAGGGGTAATAATGACAGTCCAAACTGGTGACTGACTACCTGATTTATAAACCTAAATATTTTGAATTATAGGTTAAAGTGCTAGTTTTACATCTGAGTAGTCCTAAGAGGTATGTTTCAATATTAAAACGAGAGAAGCTCCTTGAGGTGTCAGTTGCAGTAGAAGAAATACGGGATCTTATCAGGGTGTTGACAAGTGTGTGGATGTTGAAGGTAATCTGTTATTTTTGTTTCTCATTAACTTGTGATGTTATTTAGCGAATTATCTTGAATTCCATTTTCAGAATAACTATAAGCGTATAGCTGGTAGTTCAATAGTATAGGGTTATTACATGTTTTTAATGCCATGCTTTCTTGTTCCTCAAAATTGAAAATGCTTATATACTGGTACTAGTTTAGCAGAGTAATAAAACGTTGCCTACATTTTGACTTTTTGACATAATCGTAAATATTTTTTGGCAAAAGTGACAAATTTTCATCGCGGACGTGATTTTTATATTCTTTGATCGGAGTTAGATTTCCCAGTTATATTGCGGTATGTATTTTTTTCCGATTGTCACGATTTCGTGACGGAAATTACAATGATTTATTATCCATTTTATTTTGAATAATATTATACTGTATTTACGTGGTAATTTACCCCCTCAAAACTTTGTTTCTTCGGAATCATTTATTGGAATCGATCCATCAAATCAGTTAACAATCATGTGTATGAGTCCGTTAATCAAATGAGTGGTATCATATAAATTGACTGTGTACTACAACATTTGAAATTTGTGGATTTACTAATATTATATAATGTTAAATAAATAAAATGCGATTTATATAAAAAATAAAATATATACTAATATAAATAAATATAATTATATAGATTCGTGTATTTTTTTTTCTTATTCTAATAAACATTTTAAATAAAAAAAATTAGATAAAATTAAGTAAATTTTAGAGATAAAATATGCTTTAAATTTCAAAAAAAAAAAAACGAAAATAATTTTCCTACCTTTCACCATCTAACCACCCACTCTAACGAACTTAGGATCTGTAACCTTTTAATTCTCAATAAAACGTGTAAATTGAATTCATATAAACAAAGAACAATTCTGCGTCTTTGTTATTTTATTTCAAAATTATTTTAACATTTTTATAGTAAAATGATATTAATCATTATATTTTAATTTGTGCTCTTTTTCAAGATTTAATAATTCCATCTCACGAATTTTAACCTTTCTTTCTCGTAAAGCAAATTTCGCGTTCTTTTTAAGCTAAAGCTTTTTCTTGATATTCAAGATCATTCAGTTTTAAAGTAAATCTATTCTCTGTTATCTTCAACATCAGAATCAACAGTAATAACTTTCTTGGATTTCTTTTTGCACTTTATAGAAACGTTATCTGATTTTTTAGCTTAAATAATATTAAATAAAAAAAAAAATTAATATTTAAATAATAATTTAATTATTAATAAATTAAATCAAATAAATAAATTAGCTTACCTTTATATTTGTTAGATAAAATATTTCTTGAAATAAGACCTTTATCAATATCTTCAATTAGATATATTGTATTTTGATGAATATGAATAACAGTAAAACTTCTTTATCTAACTTGTATCCTCTATAATAAATCAATATAAAATAAATAAATAAATTTTTTATAATAAAAAAATATATTTAATTATATTAATATTTATTTATATACTATAAAATAACTATTACTAATTTGAGATTTTTTTTTATAATGATTACTTAAAGCATAAGCAGCTTTTACAACATAGGTATTATTTGAAGAAGTCAACCAAATATCATCATCTATTTTTGACATGCATTTATTAAGTGATGCAATAACTCATTTTTTGCCAATAAAATGCAACCCAATATATATTTTATATTATAAAAAAATTACTAATTCGCATTAAATTTTATTAAATAATTTATTAATATTTTCTTTAGTTTTAGTTGTAAAAATCGCAAATATATCACTTTTTATATTATTATCATACTGATTTTCTCTAATTTTTCTGTAAATAAATTTTAAATTTAAATTAATATAATAACTATAATTTGATATTAATTAAAGATAGTCCCTATAATTATTTTCAAATTTCAATTGAGTTACAACTTAATTGCGTTATAAAAAAATTTAATTGCATTACAAGTTGCAACTCAATTATGCCATTTTTTTAATTGTAATATTTATTTTTAATATTAATTAATTTTGATAATATCAAAATTAATCATTTTAAATTGATATTTATTATAAATAATTAATAAAATAATTATATCTGTCAAAATACAATTTAATTAATAATTTGTTAATTTACACTAAAGTATAATAATAACTATTAAAATTAATAAATTTAAATAAATTAAATAAAAAAATTTACTTTTTATAATATACTTAATAAAATTTAAAAATATAAATCAGATGTTCATTTCAATCTTTTATATTAGTTAATTTATTTAAAACTAAATTAAGTCCTTTTATTTAAGCATAATCTAAATATACAATAATATAATTCTAATCTATTTAATAAATATGTTTAATTTGAGATAATAATCTTATTTATTAAAATAAAGATTAAATAAAGTACAAAAAATTCTTTGATATGTAATAGTTATTGATTAATTGGTAAAAACTTATTTAAAAATAAGAACTAAAAAAAAATTAATTTAATTTAATAAATAATTAAATTTATTTTAAAAAAAATTAAAGCTTACTTAAATTATATATAATATAATAAGAAATTATTTTAAATTTATTAATTTCATTAATTATATGTTTAAATGAAAGATTAATTTAAAATTTTTCATATTTAATTTATTTAACTAGTTGTTTTGAAGTAGTATAAATAATCATATAATGATTATCTTCAAAAATTTTAGATATAAAATTAAAATTAAAATCATTAATATTTAAAAAATTTTAAATGTTTACTTATTCTAAAAAATATATATATTATTTTAAATTAATATTAATTATTAAAAAATTTAAATATATTATTTAATCTTTATATAATTACCTATTATAATTTTAGTGTAATATTTAAAATATTAAAATTTGTTTAATATATTAATTCTTGTAATTTATTACGAATAGTAATTAGTACATAATTATATAGAAATAATAAATGAAAATAAACACTTTTAGATATAAAATTATATATAGACATTTTTTTTTATATAATAATATTGCTTATATAATAAAAATATACTATTAAAAAAATTAATGTATAAATTAATTTAATAATAAATAATAAATTAATTATAAATTTTAAATAAATTAGTGAAATACCACTATATAATATAATTATATTATATAGTAATATCCTACTTAGATTAGATTATATTATCACTATATAATCTAATTACTACTATATAATCTGAATACTACTATATAATCTAAATAATATAATCTAATTATTATATAATCTAAATAATATAATCTAATTATCACTATATAATTTAAATAATATAATCTAATTATTACTATATAGGTTAATTGCTAGAAAAATCAGGTTCTGGGAATTTTTTAACAAAATTGAGATTTTTATTGCATTTTAATTTTTGATGTTATTATATTAAAATGTATTAAGCTCTTAATTTAAGTCAAAAATTTCTCGAAACCTGATTTTCCTAGAAACCCTCTCATATAATTTATATATTTTTACGTATTAAATATTTATTTTATATTCTAATTATTTTTTTAAATCTTTCTCATTATCTGTATTTTTTTACCATTATATAATCTAACTACCACTCACTATTTAACTTAATTATTACTATATAATCTAAATACTACACTTTCTTTTTATTTCTGAGTCATTTACATACTAAATTCTATAATAGAATTATTGACTTTTTGTAACTGTTTGAATACCTAATTATATAATAAGAATGCTGATCTTTTATGTCTGATTGAGCGCTAAATTCTATATTAAAGTACTTATTTTTTTACATCTATTAGTTTACCTTTCTAGATGATAAAGCATTATAAAAAAAAGCAGATATGTAATGCAGTAATTCAATTAAATCTGTAATTAATTTCAGTTGGTACTATGACATAATTTCTGGCTGATCTTTAGAACACATGATCTGAAGGATCTAAGTTAGCATTATGTTAGCAACCTAATAGTACTTAAAACTTTTCTAGAATTATTATAGAATTAGTAGTATATTAGAGATATTTTATTAGTTTGTTAACTTAAATGCTAAGTTATTATGTCTAAAATTTTAGCTAAATTTATGAAATAGTACTGGCTGACGTCATTATTAATTTACTACATTTTCAGTTTCTAGTACTTTTTCAATACTTTTTTACTACTTTTAAAGACCTGATTTAGTAATTAATTGATTAAAAAATTAGAGATATAACAAGTATTACTATGGTTTACCTATTTGATTACCCAAAAGTCTGCTATCTTACAACCTAACTATTACCTATTTGTTATAGGTATAAGTATGATAATTTCACATTCCAAAGTTCAAAACATTTAAGTGTATTTATATTATATTTTTGATATATTCAATATATGTTACATATACCTAGATATATACTAGTGATTGGATATTCTTTTTCCAATATTTTATATAAAGATTCTAAAAAGAATACTCTAAGTATCATCTATTAAAAATGTATTTATTTATATCTCTGAAACATCCTAAGAGAGATCAATCAACTTTGGTATTACTTTTTTAGTATATTTTATCCTATGTAAAGGTTTTATCATATCCAAATACATATCAAGAATAAATCTTCTTTCATTATTTTTTATAAAGATTCTGAAGAAGACTTATCTTTTAAATATATATTTAGTTGTATTTTATTTACAATTTGCTGACTAAGTTCATTATCATTTTTTTAGTATATTTTTATCTTATATAAAAGCTTTATCATTTTTAAGTATATATCTAAAAAAGTGTAAACTTCTTCTATTATTTTATATAAAAATTCCAAAGAAGCTACACTTTTAGATGTATATTTTAATGACTTTCTTTTATAATTTGTCAATTAAGTTTGCTATTTTTTCTTTTTGCATCTATTGAAAAAAATAAATTAAACATTTCAGAAATATATTATGATATAGTATATCCTAACTAATTTTGACTAAACTGATCATACTAGAACTGGCTCTAATCCTTTAGTTATCTACTATGATAACACTTATTCTAATGAATATTTAAGTAACTCAAGCAATTTGTACTGATAATAGATCTAACTTAAAATCAGATAATTATAATAATTATAAGACTAATTATAAATCTGATAGTAAAGAAGTTCTCTATATTTCAACTAGTATTACTAAGACTCCATTAATTCAGCTATCAAA